TAACTTAAGTTATAAGAGCTAGCTAAAAACAAACCTAAGCTATCTACCAAGCTTTCATAAATAATAATAAGTCTCTGTGTAGTTATTTGGGAGCTGACTGGCAGGACAGAAAAAGTCCATTTCTGCTGGCAATATTTAATAAAAGCTTGCTTCAAATTTGGCTCAAAATTGTGGCAGTGGTCTTATTCTTGCCCTGTGGGATTAACACTAGGAGTAGGTAAAAAACCCTGCCCAAGCTTGTTTTGATGGAGAAAAAACGGTCCTTTAGCCTCCAGGAAGCAGTGGTGAGAAGTCTTAGTGTTGGATGGACCATTTTCCCTGTTTCCACACAATGGTTTCTGTATGTGAGTCCTGCATCTTTCATAGCACTGGGGAAGGGAGCACAGGACCATTGGTGCTCTACAGGGAAGGAGGCACGGGACCATTGGTGCTCTAGAGGGAGGAGGCACGGGACCATTGGTGCTCTAGAGGGAGGAGGCACGGGACCATTGGTGCTCTAGAGGGAGGAGACACGGGACCATTGGTGCTCTATGGGGGAGGAGGCACGAGACCATTGGTGCTCTAGAGGGAGGAGACACGGGACCATTAGTGCACTAGAGGGGAGGAGACACGGGACCATTGGTGCTCTAGAGGGAGGAGACACGGGACCATTGGTGCACTAGAGGCACCCAACCAAGTCCATCTCGAGAATTTTCATCAGCCTTGGAAATGGAGCCATTTTCTCCCAGGAGGATGGCTGGGAAAGAGTAGCTGGGACCCAATTTCTCAGCGGAGCTATTCAATCTAGCCGTACTGGCTGTGCCCTCGGCTCTGGCGCCTCATCTGCTCAGTGAGGACAGGAGGTAGATGTAGAAAGGCAGACAGACAGACATCACAGGAGCTGCCCTGTGCATCGGAGAGAAGCCAGGAAGGAAGAGCAGCAGGGACAGACTTTGGGACACCACCTCATTTCCCTCCCACCTCCCCATCCCCACCTGGCCGCCAGTCCCATGCTATCTCTGTGTGGTCGGCCCCATGTGTACTACACTCACACTCCTTTGTGAGAAGACAGTACCATGAGCCCAACAGAACCCACACAGAAACTGAAGTGATCCTCTAGGGATAAACAACAGATCACAAGCTCGTCTCAGGAGTAAGTGTGGGCCCTGTAGAGATGGCCCAACAGGTAAGAGCATGTACCGCTGTGACAATAGACCTGGCTTTAGATCCCAGCATACACATCAGCTGGCTCAGAACCACCCCTAACTCAACTCCAGGAGATCTAACGCCTTCTTCTGGCCTTCGTGGGTACTGTACACATATGGCACACACACATACACAGGCAAACACACACACACAAACACTCAATAAAAATAAATATTTTTAAAGTCCACCAAATGATCCCAATGCTGACAGACCCAGCAACATCTTCTCACATGTCACTACTGTGCCTGGAAAATGCAAGCTTTCAGATGGTCCAGAGAGACTCAGGCCATCCATCCCAGGAGAGCATCCCCTTAGTGTGCTGTCTGTAATGGGACAGTGGAGCTCTGGTGTCTTTCTTGGTTCTGTAATCATGCTCCTAGTATCCCCTGAAGAGAACCTTCAGGGAATCTTGAGCCTCCTCAAGCTTGTCTGAGAAAAGAAGTCTGGAAGTGACTGACTTCTGCTGTGACTTTTATGTACCACTAACCTGACTGCATATTAGCTTCTAGGAGTAACAGGAACAGGGTAGAGAGATGCTTAGTGCTTAAGAACACTTGTTGCTCTTGCAAAGGACCTGGGTTCAGTTCTCAGTACTCACATCAGGAGTTACATTGCCTGTAACTCCAGCCTCAAGGAGTCTGTTGCTTCTGATTATCATAGGCACCTGCACTTACATGCATAAGCCCACATACATATACAAATAATTTAAAAAACATTTTAAAAGAGTAATGGGAAGCACTTCTCAAATATTTGAATTGCATACTAGAGATGCAAATCAACATTTGTACCTTGTAATGTTTTTGTCAGTACATCTTTGCATTGAGATGAAAGCACAATAATTAATTGCTTACTCCTTGTGTATCAGGTGTTCCATGCCCTAGGTAACATTTGCAGAGTATGTATGATTTAAGTGTCATCTGGGAGATGCTAAATACATCTGAATGATAATGTGCGAGTTCATCTTATGAGAAGACTAATAATAGCCTCAGTTAAAGGTTCAGCTAATTTGATCATAGCATCTTCCTCTAACTAGAGTGTAAAGACTCATGGGGCTGTGATGGGCACTCTGATTGCATCTCGTCCTCAGCCTTAATAAAAAAAGTTTAAAAGAAATGAACCATTAAAAAAAATACCTGGGGCTGGAGAGGTGGCTTAGTGGTTAAGAAGAGCACTGGATCCTCTTCTAGAGGACCTGAGTTCAATTCCCAGCACCCACATGGTCGCTTACAGCCATCTGTAACTCCAGCTCCATGAGATTCAGTCCCCTCTTCTGACTTGCTCAATAGACAAACATACAAATAAAATAAAAAAATAAAGGCAAAAAATTGTTAATTCATTATTTTTAAAATTAGATGTACCTATGTGTAGGTTTGCACATGTGTGCATTCATACAGGTGCCTGCTCAAGCTGGGAGGATCAGATCCCCTAGAGATGGATTTACATGTGGCTGTGAGTCACCTGATGGGGGTGCCGGAAATAGAATTCGGGTCCTCTGCAAGTGTAGTATGTGCTCTTAACCACTGGGCCATCTCTTCAGCCTCAAATAAACCTTTAAGAAAAGCCAGTGGGCTAAATATTGAAATTTGGGACAGGATGAGAAATCCTACAAGGAATTTCAGGTGGACAGACATGGTACAGTTTGTACTGGGTCCCACAAGTTGTGTCCATCCCTTTACTTGTGGGCACTCAACAGACACATCCCCCATTATAACAACGAAAAGCAATAGTGCCCAGTGATCCCCTGGCTCCGGGTGATCTTGGGGACAGGGAAAATGAGGAAGTAAGCACATCTGTATTTTAAACTACCTATGGGTCTAGTATGTCAAGTAAGATATGCACAGAAGAAAGGAAAAACCTCAGGAAATCCCAATTAAGTTCTCCATTGCATTGCTTTCATGAACAGAAAGGAGTCCCCAGTCAACCTGTCTACAGTCATGATGCTGGCTGGCTAATACCCTGTATCTGTTCACTCTCCCATATAAAATTTATCTTTGCAGGAGATTCAAGATAATTTCATGTCAGAATCATCACAAAATTTCTATTTTGGAATGTTGATGAGTATAATTTATTATATACAGTATAATAGACCTGTACATTCATGTTACAATACACAGTTTTAATTTGTGCCTTTGAAGAATCAGGGACATGGAATATAATGGAGATTTATTGCCCAAGAGTTTGTAGACATTTGAATGACGAATAAGGGGTTTGTCTTAAATTGAGGTGACATGGGCAAAGCTGCCCTGTCTGATGATAAAAGTGGTGGCAGTCAGAACCCTCCGGGGGGTAAGGGTGGAATAAAGTAACGGTCGGGAGTGCTCTGCCTGCAGTGGGCATATACTTGTGACTAGGACTCTTTACACATGCAGCTACAGCTACTTTCCTCTTAGCTAAAGACTGAGGGGGGAAATAGTGAAGGACACAGTGCAGAATTTGCACAGTTTGGAACATCCTATGTGCATCATTTTCATAAGACACAGACTCAGAAAAACAAACAGCAACAATAACAACAAAAGTCTTATATCCTGTCTGTTGTGACCAAAGCCAGAAAACAAAAACCAAAAAACAAAGCTCTTGTTCAGACAATTAGCAACCCCTGGTTATGAGAACAGTCATGGATGTGTGAGTCATTCTGTTCAAGTTCCAGCCTGGCTTAGGATGTGTGACTGGTCCAGGTCACTGCTTCCAGAAAAAGGGCCCCAGATTATTGGAAAATTTTTTACTTAAAAACTCTTAGTCCAGGTATGGTAGTACACACCCTTTATCCCAGCACTCGAGAGACAGAAGCAAAGGCAAAGGCAGGCAGATCTCTGTGAGTTTAAGACCAGTGTGGTCTACACAGTGGATTATAGGACAATCAAGGCTACTTAGTGAGACCCTATCTTAAACATAAATAAATACTTAAAAACTCTTAGCCAGGTGGTGGTGATATACTCCTTTAATCCCGGCACTCAGGAGGCAGAGGCAATCGAAATTCTCTAAGTTTGAGGCCAGCCAGGTTCACAAAGTGAGTTCCAGGACAGCCAGAACTGTTACACAGAGAAATCCTGTCTTGAAAAACCAAAACCAAACAAACAAAAACCTCCAAACCATTGTGGATGAAACTTGTTACACTTCCCATCAGCTGAAGAAAGACCAACCCTCTACAAGGACATCACCATCTGGCTGGCTTGGAGGGTCCACTTCCTGGATGAGAATTCTTCAACAAACAATTGCTCCATGGCTGTAAAGGCAGCAAACTGTTTCTCACTGCTGGGATCTGAAGCATGGGTGCTTTTGCTCACTCACGATTTTGCTGAGAACCAAGTGCTCAGAGGGATCCACAACTCTGTGGGTTCTGATGGCTCCATACTCAGTTTGTGGGAGAAGTCAGCACTCAAGGATTCTGGAAAGGTGGCAATCTCTTCTTTATCACTTTAGCTTTTTTGATAATGCTCTCAAAGCTCCCTCAGCCTACCTTTGAAGGTATGGGTGCACCCAAGGTTTTCTGTGACCATGCAAACACTATGTCTTTACCAGACTGTCTAGACACACCAGTTACACTGCCAATTTGATAGAGGCCGTATTTGACCCTTGTCTGCCAATCTTACAGCCTAATGGTCAGGTTCATAAAGCAACAGATTCCCAGCTACAAAGTGGCCAGCACCCCTATGACTGCATGTGTCTGATGGATAACTCTATTGAGAAGTCAACAGTTCATAGCCATCATTAACCTGGAAATCTTATTATCCATAGGGACGAAACACTGAGGTCAGAAACAGAAGGAATTACACAAAGAAAAACCCATAGCAAATAAATAATTTTGACAAACTCTGTGAAGTTAGTAGATTTCTCTATTTTTTGTGAACAGCTGTTTCAAAATGGAAGGAAATCTTTCATTTTTCCAGTTCCAAGCTGATGGGCTGAGCTGGTTTTAACTAGAAACTGTCCTTTTCTGCAGTGAGTGTGTGTGTTTACCGTGAACAAAACAGCAAAGACAGCAATGGCTATCCTCACAAGTGGGACTGTGCTTTGATATGTTTGGGGATAGAATTTTGTGGTCAGATGTTAGGAAGAACTTGGTAAGTTCTAGGAATTCTGAATTACGGACTAGCTATCCTGGGAGGTTTGACCGTATGGCCTGCTGCTGTGCAAACAGCCTCGCAAGGGCATTTTGCTGTTATCACTACATAGCCCAAGCTGGCTTTGAACCTATTGTGTAGCAAGCTTGAGATCCTCCTGCCTTAGTCTCCTAAGTGCTGAATTCACGGTGTGTGTGATCACCGGCAACTTGAGGCCTTGTCATCCTTTCTGCCTCTCTCTAGTGCATGAGCTGTTTCGCTCGCTTTCTCCCCCTTTCTGTCTTCTTTGGTCAGCTTTTCTCATGACCATGCCGGAGTGGATTTAGAGGAGGAATGGGTACTTTGTGGGACAGGTCCGTGGCTGCTGGTACAGAGTGAGGGAGAGTACCCAGATTGGGGACATAAGCCACCAGACCCTTCAGGGGAAGACAACTCCCAACCCACGAGCACAGACATGAGGTGAGCTGAGCTCTGATGTGACCCTGGTGCCCTTGGCAGATGGATCTCATCCTCAGGACTGCTGGCTGGCTGCAGAGGATCATGGGAAGAAGGCACTCCCATGTGGCCCCTCACTGCTGCTTAGAGAAGAAGACCTTGAAAGCACTGCTGTAGCTCCTGTTGAAGGCTGTGTAGATGAGTGGGTTGAAGAAGGAGTTGGAATATCCCAACCACAGGAAGATGCTCTTCCAGATGGCAGGGATGTCCCAGGAGCACAGGGGACTGATGAGCTCCGTGACAAAGAAAGGAAACCAGCAGAGCACAAACACCCCAATAAGGATGCCCACCATGAGGGCCGCCCTCTGCTCCTTCTGCTCCCGCCATGTATCCCCTTCTGTCTGGAAGGTAACGGTGGCATGGCGGACAGTGAACACCATCTGGGGCTGTTGTGTAGCATCCTTCACCTGCAAGGTACAAACAGACACTTTGTAAGGAACAACCTCTTCACACCTACCAGGTAGTGGCCAGGCTGAACCCAGGTATGGACGGGCCTGAACCCCACAAGCCACTCCAAAGGACATGTTGGAGCTTGGGTGGGGAATTCCATAATCTAGAGGGTACAGTCGTGCAATGACAGGGCCAAGGTGTGTGTGTGTTTGCCCAGTCCACTATAGACAGTGTCATCCCTAGGCAAGTCATTCTGAGTTGCATGAGAAAACTAGTTGAGTTTAAGTCAGCAGTTCTCATCCTGTGGGTTGTGACCCTTTTGGCAAACCTCTTATCTCCAAAAATATTTACATTACAATTCATAACAGTAGTAAAATCCTAGATATGAAGTAACAATGAAAGTAATTTTATGGTTGGGGATCAGTTGGGGTCACTACAACATGAGAAGCTGTATTAAAGGATCACAGCATTAGGAGGTTGAGAACCACTGGTCTCAGCCATCGTACAAGCCAGCCAGAAGCATCCCCGTGTTTCCTGCTGTCCTTCTGTGGCTATGAAGTGAGTTCCTCAGTTAGAGGTAATGCTATGTGGGATAAGAAGTCAAGTTCCTGCCTTGACTTCCCTCAATGACGGGTGGTGGTCTGGCATTATAGGCTAAAATAAACACTCCCCTCTCCCAAGTTGCTTTTGGGCAGATTGGTTTTTTTTTGTTTTTGTTTTTGTTTTTGTTTTTGTTTTTTTTGGTTTTTCGAGACAGGGTTTCTCTGTGGCTTTGGAGGCTGTCCTGGAACTCGCTCTGTAGACCAGGCTGGTCTCGAACTCACAGAGATCCGCCTGCCTCTGCCTCCCGAGTGCTGGGATTAAAGGTGTGCGCCACCAACGCCCGGCTTGGGCAGATTGTTTTATCACAGCAACATAACTGGAATAGAAAAACATGAGGCCTGCAGATTGGGTGTCAAAGGCACAGAAGACAAGTTGAGTCTGTGATGGTGAATTACTGATTGTAAACTGGATGGAATCCAAATCGTCTGGGAGGCTAACTTCTAGGCTTTTCTGTGACAGGAAGACATACCCTAAATGTGGGTGGCACCGTCCGATAGGCTGGGGTCCCAGACTGAATAAAAAGAGAGAGTGAGTGGAGTACCCCATCCCTCATTCTGCTTCCCAGCTGCACAGACAGTGTGAGCAACTACCTTAGGCTCCTGCCACCATGACCTCCCTGCTGTGATAGATTGCACCCCCAAACTAGGAGCCAGTGCAAAGCCTTTCTCCCTGGAGTTGCTTCTGAATGGTATTTTATCCCAGCAAAAATAAGTTATTAATATAGATCACAATGAGCTCATTATAAACAAAATAGTGAAGACTGAAAATTCATTTACCATATACCTCTCATACCAGGTAGCCTCACATACCCTTTGGAGGTCAGTGATTTTCCTTTGTCATTTGGGGGCTGGATTGGTTTACTGCTACTGCTCACCATCAGGGGTGTGGGGTGTGGTTTGATGTTTCCTTTGCTCAAGCTTCACTCAGTGTGACACTCAGACCACTTCCTGTTGCCTGTGCGATCAAGATGTAGCTCCTTCTTGACTCTCAGCCCCTCTCCAGCACCATGCGTGTCTGTATGCTGCCATATCCTACCATGATGATAATAGACTGAACCTCTGAAACCGTAAGCCACCCAATTCAACGTTTTTCTTTATGAGAGTTGCTGTGGTCATGGTGCCTCTTCACAGCAATAGAAACCCTGACTCCTGCCCCAGATGAGGCAGTTCAGTGGGTTAAGGTGCTTTCCAACAAGCCTGACAACCTAAGTTCTATCACCAGAGACTACGAACTCCCCCAAGACTCCCTCTGGAAGTCTTCCTCATTCCTGGCATTTTTTATGGGTCAAGCTGGGCATTGTTGGTGATAACAGGAATGCTAGCAACATGAAGGTAACAGCAACATGGAAGTTCTAAAGACATAGGGGTGCTGGAGACATGGGAACACTGGGACCTGTTTTTGCATCAGGAATTCTTCAGAGTTTAGTATAGAGCTCCATATTTCTCAGAAAAGCATCACCCGTGCGCCCCCCCCCCCCCCGTTCTGTTCTCCTTCTGTTGCTGTGATAAACACCATGACCAAAATCAACCTGGGGAAGAAAGGGCTCATTTCAGTTTACACTTTCAGGTCACTCACTCTTCATCGATGAGGAAATCAAGGCAGGGACGTAAGCAGGCGCTGATTGCTGCCTCACAGGCTCGTGCTCCGCTAGCTTTTCACACAGCCTCATGCTTAGCTGCCTAGGCATGCTGCTGCCCACAGTGGGCTGGACTCTCCCTCGTCAGGACAGTTCCTTACAGACAAACCTGAATGGGGCAGTTTCTTAGGTGTCTCCAGGTTATGTCAACTAACCAGGACACACTTCCGTGTGAAACACGGATCCGTGTTCTGGTGCTGTGTTCAACACCAGCCTGTCCCACCCCCACAAGAACTCAGTGGGGCTGTGGGTCCATTGATAGGAGATCCCGGCTGTTTGAAGGGTTCCACTTTCTCTTGCTTTCAGGTTTGTGTGCCCACCCTGCCTTCCAGACCTCATCTCTCTTCTCTGTGCTAATCAATGACTACAATGAAGCAATCACTTAACTGAGTCTGTAGAGTAACCTGTATAGATTAACATAAGAGTTTAAGCACTCATTAGCAGATCTCAGGAAGAGAGGATAAGGTTAGCACAGAGCCAGCAGTCAGACCAAGCTAGATCTTCCGTCATCTCTGAAACACACTTAGAACAGGTGTTTCACAATTTCAGATTCACAGGAAGTCCCCAGTTTTACCAGCCTTTTGTCTTTCAATAACTGAGTTATTTGGGGACAAGCACCACTTGTTAAAGCTCTTGGGGTTTTGTTTTTGTTTCAAAATATTGCTGTGCTAAATAATTGTTTATGGTTTTACTACAAATCTAACATGTTCCTTCCATGGCTTAGTGTTGCTGAAGTTGGGGACAGAAACTCTCAGCTCTGAAGTGTGGGTTCAGTTGATTCTTAAGACAGGTCACCTGGACCTTCCAGAACACTCAAGAAACAGATTTACAGATTAGAAGAAGGCTCTGCATGGTGATGACTCAGGGACAGATTGCTCACTATGTAGCTATGGTAACAAGGAAGCATGATGGTTGTCTAAACTTCTTCCTCTGATCAAGGACAATGCAGTTCCCAGAGCACATGCTTGTAAACAAGCCAGTCATCAACAGCCCTCACTCAGGAGTCAGCCAATCAAGTCAGGGTCACCCTAGACAAGCCAGTAATCATTAGCCCTCACTTGGGAGCCAGCCAATCAAATCAGAGTCACCCTAGAAACCTGACTCTGAGAGCCAATCATTGTGAGCACCCACAATCTACAGATAATGCTGCCCATCCTGACAGAATGACCTCCCATCCTGAGCCTGATCACTCTGAATTCACAGAGATAATCATGAGTTCTTTTGTCCTAGCAACAGTTTGGCATGACAGGATTTCCTTACTCCCTAGGTCATAAAAATCACCAGTTCTTTTAATCTCAGCCTGCGGGTCACAGCTGTGCTACCCTTGGCAGTTCTAAAAGGTAACACTGAGACCATGTCTAGGACCCACCATGACATCTCTCCACCAAAAGGTCTTCACTGGACCCAACTCCAGGTATCTGCTGGCTCATGCTTTTGTTCAGGCACTCCTGATTTCTTAGGTTCCAGCTGGCCCCCTGGGCGCCTACTACTAATGATATTTTGCTATTCTGGAATTTGCAAACAAAGGATGTCTTTGTGGCTCATCATATTGAGGTGTTTGCTTCAAGTAACTAGAGCGTCAGCTAGAGGTATGCTGTTGGGTCTTGGCTTAGATTTTGGGATAAGGTTAGTCATGTACCGGAGTGCAGCACCTTGCTGGAAAATTAACCTGCAGCATCTACAGCTGCTTGTTTTTTGTTTTGAAGATTTGTTTTACGTGTGTGTGTGAGTGTGTGTGTGTGTGTGTGTGTGTGTGTGTGTGTGTGTGTGTCTGTAAGTGCATGCAGGTTCTCTCATAGTCTAGAAGAGGGCATTCAGTCACCTGGAGCTGGAGTTATGAGCTGCTAGACATGAGTGCTAGAATTGAACTCAGGTCCTCTGCAAGAGCAGCAAACACTCTTAACCACTGAGCCATTTCTGTCTAGCCCCAGTCAGCTTGTTTAATTGATATCCAGAGGACTTACAACATTGCCCCCTTGGGATCTCTCTCTAGCATGTTCTGGGAGCTATATCAGATTTCCTAAATGAACTGCCCTTTCTTTAAGATTTTTGTTGTTGTTCAGGAAAAAAATTGAAGCATTCTGTAAACTCACTAGATATAAAGTCAGATCTATAAACTGTAAATTCAAAGCCTATGCCAGAGTCAAGGGCATAAGGGAAATTTTTCCTAAACTTCAGAGAAAAGGGCAGAAATGTGTTGTGGAATTTAGAATTTCATTAGAATATCAAACAAACCATATTGCTAGGACCTGTCACAGCCCGAACTGAAAACTCTTCAGATTTGGAAATATTTAAAAGCAGGACAGAGTGGAAAAGAGTTACCTAATCCAATTGTGGGAATTTAACAATAGGTTATGGATTACATAAATCAATTACAGAAGCTTCCCTTGCATGGGATGACTGAAGAAAGGTACAAAGCAAACAAAGACAAAAAATAGATTTACCATCCATGCAGCCTTATGTGGAGCAGAAGCCCGCAGCTGATGGGATGGGGTCTCAGTTAAAGCAAGGCCTTCTTTTACATCTTTGTTTGTTTTTGTTTTTTGTGTTTTGAGACAGGGTTCTCTGTGTAGCCCTGGTTGTCCTAGAACTTACTATGCAGACCAGGCTGACCTCAAACTCAGAGATCTTCCTGCCTCTGCCTTTGGAGTGCTAGAATTAAAGGCATGTACCACCATGTCTGACTCAGTCTTTTCTTCAATAAAGGGACTCAAAAGGGCTGGAGAGATGGCTCAGAGGTTAAGAGCACTGGCTGCTCTTCCAGAGGTCCTGAGTTCA